GCGATATGCCGCTCCGGGCCGCCGCTATTCTCCTCCAGGCTGGTGTAGTCGATGATCCGCCGATCCGGAAATACCATAAAATACTCCAGCGACTGCTTGGCCTCCTTGTAGCTGACAGAAGCCTCTTCAGGCAGGCTCACCGCCGATCCGACACCGATATGCACCGTGCAGCCCTGCCTCGCTAAATCAGCCTCCAGCTGCTCCAGTGCTGTCATCAGACGAGCTTTCCCCTCCTGTGGGTTCTCCAGACTTCCAATAAGGACCGTATCCCCATCCACATCGCGGAATAGCGTCAGCTCCGTGCTGTCTTCCAGCAAATCGTCAACCTGCCCGAACAACGCCTCATCGGCTGCAGTCCGAAGCACCGCCACGGCCATATAAGGCCGGTCCAAGTTCACGCCAAGCAGATCGGCTCTTTCTATAAATTCCGGAGGGGCGATCTGCCCGTTCATCCAGCGATAGAGCGTATTGTCCTTCAAAATTTGCACATCAAACGAGCTGTACAATCCGCTCGTCCTCGTACTGTCCAGCTTGGACACGGTATTGCGGAGAGTCGATTCCAACTCCTCCACATTAATCGGCTTCAGCAAGTAGTTTTCGATGCCCAGTCTCATCCCCTGCTTCAAATAATCGAACTCGTTGTATCCGCTTAGGATGATCACCTTGAGGTCGCTGCGGGTTTTCCGAGCCTCGCCGATCAGACTCAGACCGTCCATCACCGGCATGGAAATATCCGTAATCAGCACATCCACGGGCGTAGACGCCATCACCTCGAGCGCCTGGCGGCCATTCTCTGCGTGCCCGACGATCTCCAGCCCCAGCGCTGCCCAATCCAAAATATCGTACAGCCCTTCGATAATGAACGGCTCATCGTCCACAATAAACACTTTATACATCTTCAGCATCCGTCCCTTCCCGGTTAGGATAACGTACGGTGACAACCGTACCGACTCCAGGCCGACTGTCAATTTCCACCCCGTATGCCGGACCGTACAAAAACTGGAGCCGGCTGTGCACGCTGCGCAGCCCAAACATTTCGCCGGACTCCTCCGGCTTCCCAAGCTCTTCATGGATCTCATCCAGGCGCTCAGGCGTGATACCTTTGCCATTATCCGTAATCACAGCCACCAGCATATCGCCTTCTTCCCTCACCCGAATGTCTAGATGATTATCGTCGCGATTGGTCTGGATGCCGTGAACGATATAGTTTTCGATCAGCGGCTGCAGCGACAGCCTCATGACCGATTTGCCCTGCAGCGCCGGGTCTGAATCGATCGTATAGCTGAACTTCTCCTTATAACGGATCCGGAACAGTTCCAGATACAAGCGGCATGCCTCCAACTCATCCTTGAGCGTGTAAATCTTTTTCTGCTTCACCAGGCTTTTGAAAAGCACGGACAAACTATAGATCATTTCCCCGACATCCTTAGCCCCTTGGGAAATGGCCCGCATCCGGATCACTTCAAGTGTATTGTACAAAAAGTGAGGATTGATCCGCGCCTGCAGCGCCACCAGCTCCGTCTGCTTCTGTTTAATTTCGGCTTTGTACACCCGCTCGATATACAGGTTCAGCTCGTCCAGCATGTCGTTAAAGCTTCGGGAAATCTGGCCAAGCTCGTCTTCTCCCGGGTTATCGATCCGTGCGGACAAATCCCCGTTTTTTACCTTGCGCGTAATCCTAATAATCCGGTTCGTCCGGTTGGCGAAATTAATCACAAAAAAGGCCGGGAAAAAGATCGCAAACAATATACAGATCCCGCTGATCGTTATAATCGTTTTCCGGATACCTGAGTAGCTGGCCTCCACGTCCTTTTTCGGAACCGCACCAATCACGACGTATCCGTTGTCAGCCGAAGTCAGCTTGTTGATATACATTCGGCTGCTGATCTCAGCCGGGCGGGTATTTCCACCGTCATACAGCGAGTCGGTCACATCCATATAAGGATAGGTCTTCCCATAATATTTCCCTTCCGAATCATACAAAACCTTGCCGTCCGCGGAAAGCACCGCAATATCCCCTTTGAAGCTGTCCTTATAGCTGGTCAGAGCATCGGTGATACCGCCCGAATCCAAATAAACGAGAAACTGCCCCGCATTTTTGAGCTGCCGGTTATTGATTGGTACCCGGATGGCGTACAGCTCCGGCGCCCACTGGTCCGCCGCCTTCCGGATCCAGTAATTCGGAGCGGTGATGCCTTTATAATCCATCGCCATAACGTCCGGAATATAGGAGTGGGTCATATCGGTGGTCAGCTGCTTATACTGATTGTTTGGCTTGAACACAGACAGAAACTGCTTCTCTGAACTGTACAGCATGATGTTGCGGATATCTCCGTTTTCGTCCATCACCTGCTGGAAATACTGCAGCGGGTCCGTCGAGTTGTTGTTCGTTTCGTTGTAAAACTGGTCCATCCGATGCTGGACATATTGCGAATAAGGATGCTCCATCAAAAAGGAAATGTTCGAGAACAGCATTTCGTTCCGGTACATATCCCTGGCAATATTCTCTACCGACTGGTAACGCTGATCCAGATACCGGCTGACATTTTCCATCGCAGCCTTCTGGTTGTTGAGTTCCTTCTCCACGATCGATTGGGATAGGGAAGAGAACATCAGATAGGACAGAATCACGATTGTCAGAATGGCAATGATCGTGAAAATCAGCAGAATCCTCATGAACATGTTATTTTTAAAATAATTCCTGTAGATTCTGCCCAGTCCCATCGTAATCCCCCTTTTCACCGTTTTTCCATTATATCATACCCTCGTTGATCGTTAAGGAACACGCTGTTTACGAAGCCTGTTTGCGAATCAATCCAGCCGGAACTTCACGATCATGAAATTGCCCGGGAAATGGAAAGCTGTGCCCTGCCCTTTCCTACGGGTACGCTTACAACCTTACCGCCACTGCTTGATGCAGCAATACCACTATGATAACTTTTTCGTTTCCCGTAAGACAAATGGAATAATTTTGAACATGTGCATCACAGCAAAAAAGCCAGCACCTGGGATGTCCAAGGTACTGGCTTTCTCACTCGCCATTGTACAGATTACTCTGTAGTGTATGGCAGCAACGCGATTTGACGGGAGCGTTTGATCGCAATCGTCAGCATGCGTTGGTATTTTGCACTAGTTCCGGTTACACGGCGAGGCAAAATTTTACCGCGTTCGCTGATAAATTTCTTCAGCAGATCGGTATCTTTATAGTCAATGTGAGTAATTTTGTTCACAGTGAAGAAGCACACTTTACGACGTTTGTTACGGCCGCCGCGGCGAGCCGGTCTTTTATCGTTGTCTCCGCCTTCTCTTTGTTTAAAAGCCATGCTGTTTCAGTCCTTTCCTTATTAAAATGGCAAATCATCATCCGAAATATCAATCGGTTTTCCGTCATCGGAAAAAGGATCCTGATTGGAATTGTTCCGCGAGTAGCTGTTACCGCCACGTCCACCGCCTCCATTATAGGAAGGCTCCTCACGCGGGGTGCTTCCGCCTCCACCGCCTTCACGGTTGGATTCCAGGAAACGTACGTTATCGGCAATGACTTCGGTGACGTATACACGTTTACCTTCGTTATTCTCGTAATTCCGTACCTGGATGCGCCCTTCTACAGCCGTCAGACGGCCTTTGCGCAGATAATTGGCGCAGGTCTCAGCAAGCTGTCTCCATGTGACCACCGGAATAAAGTCCGCCTCACGCTCTCCGCCTTGCGCCGTAAACGGGCGATCCACAGCGAGCGTAAACTGCGTTACGGCTACCCCTGAAGGTGTATAGCGCAGTTCCGGATCCCGGGTCAACCGGCCGATCAAAATAACACGGTTCAACAATCGAGTCCCCTCCTTTGAGCGAATTTCATCACTAATTCCGTAAACGGATATTAAGCAACAACGTCAAGCGTAATGAGATAACGAATTACTTCGTCAGAAATTTTCATGAGGCGCTCAAGTTCGGCTACAACGTCAGGGTTGGCGCTGAAGTTAACCAGAACAAAAGTACCGTCACGGAATTTGTTGATCTCATACGCAAGGCGGCGTTTACCCATCACTTCATGCTTAGTGATTTCTCCACCGTTGGAGATGATGCCTTGGAATTTTTCGACTGCGGCTTGAACAGCATCTTGTTCAATGTCAGGACGAATAATGTACATCACTTCGTATTTGCGCATATGTTTCACCTCCTTATGGACTTCGGCCCCTGATCATGTCAGGAGCAAGGAACGAGTCTAAACTCGCACCATATTAATATATCAAATTGGCCCAATGATTGCAAGTACAATGCCGTATTGATCCTGTTCCACACATGATTCTCCGCCAAGGGTACACACTACAGAGGCAGTCCATTTTAACGATTAAAGGAGGCCTTGTCCATGGGTGAAAGAACTGAATTCGAACCAGGCGACAAAGCGCCGAACCCCGGCGTATACATGGAGGTTGGTGAAAACAGCTTCCATACTGAAATCACGGATCCGCAGCGGGTCGAGCTGGCTAAGGGCGATACCTTTCCAGAGACCTCGAAGAAAGACCGCAAATGGAAACGGATGACGAAAGCGCGGGTCCACTAATTTTACAAATGGATGCATAAGCGCACGAAAACTGCGCATATTACAATCAGGCGGTGCTTGAGAGAGGTGTGGTTCCGTTGGACATGATCAACGCAACAAAGCACAGGAAGTCAGAAACAGCACGTTCAAGAAGCGGAGGGAAGTGCTAAAAACACTTTATTGTCTAAAGCAAAGATTTGCTAAAGGCTGACCCGAGTTTCACTTGCTGAAGTGTTGTGTGGATGAATTCCAAAAAATCATGGCATCGCCTGCCAAATCGGAGGACCTTCTGGGTCCTCCTTTGGTTTGTATACAGCCGTAATGCCGCTTCCCATCTCTTATTATGAAAGCAAAGCATCATAAAGCGAAACGCTATAAATAACTAAGAAAACCTCCAGTTTCTTCAACTGAAGGTTTTCGCCGTATGTATTCTATGCGCAGTCACTTAAATAAGGGAATGTGGCGGAAAGAGAGGGATTCGAACCCTCGCACGCCTTGCGACGCCTAACTGATTTCGAGTCAGCCCCCTTAGACCTCTTGGGTACCTTTCCGCAGCAAAATTGATTATAGCACATGTCCATCATTTGTGCAAGCCCTTTACCCCAAAGCTATTTATTTCTAAGCCTGCCCTTCCGTTCCCTCTTCCGATTTCGAACGAAGCACCTTTTTCATATTTTTCTCAAACTTCGCCCGCGGGATCAATACGCTGTGCTGGCAGCCTACGCATTTGATCCGGATATCCATTCCCATGCGAATAATTTCCATTTCGTTGCTGCCGCATGGGTGGTTTTTCTTCATTTGGACGATATCACCGAGCTGAAACACTTTACGTTCCACCGTTATCCTTCCCCCATTTCGTTATTCCCTTCTTTGCCTGCCGCTAGCTCGGCCTGTGCCTGTTTCATCATGTCCTCGTATTCCAAAGCCTGCTTCACGTCGGCCTGAATCTGCCGTTCGACATCTCCTTTGGTGTTCGGCATGCACTCAGCTACGATCCGGATGACGTATTCACTTGTGTTCAAGGATTGCACCCCGAGTACATTCGGCACCGAAATGACATTAGGATCCCGCTGCTGAATGCCGGTAAGCGCCTGTTTAATCAGGGCTACGGTTTCTTCCAGATTTCGCTCGTTTTTCATTGGAAGGTCAACAACCGCGAGCGCATTGGATAAGGAGTAGTTCGTTACGCTGGCGATGGAGCCGTTAGGCAAAATATAAACTTCCCCGGTAGGGCTTACGATGCGTGTGGTTCGAAGGCCGATCATCTCTACGGTGCCTTTGAAGGTCCCGGTCTGGATAACGTCCCCTACCGCAAATTGGTCTTCTAATATAATGAAGAATCCGGTAATCACATCTTTAACCAAACTTTGCGCGCCAAAACCTATGGCCAAACCAAGCACTCCTGCTCCTGCAAGGAGCGGTCCCAAATGAAAGTTGAACTCCGACAGAATCAGGAGCACCATAATAAAATTACAGGTGACCGCCGTTACGTTTTTCAGCAGTTCGGCTACCGTGGCGAACCTCCGCGGATTGACGTTCATCCGGCTCTGCTCCTGTCTCGCCAGCGACTTGTCTATAATTTTGGATACAACCTTGATAATAACGCGGGTAATAAAGAACAGGATAATGATCCGAATGCTCGAAAACAGCACGTTGGTCCACATATCTACATTCGTTACCCATTCCAGAAACTTATCGCTTATACTCATTGCCTGGTCTATAGCCTCTTTTGGATCAGGCAAACTTTCGTCAAGCCAAAACTTACTCAATCAACTCTACCTCCTATCCTCGATGCTTTTATATCCTTCTATGCTGTCTTTGAAGTAGATTCCCCGAATCTCCACCTGCTCCTGCTGGATGATCGTCTGTACGTTATCCAGCTGGTCCGGCGGGAACTGGATCGATAATGCACAGCCCGCTGTAATTTCCTTTGGTGTAGGAAATAAATCAATTTCAACCTCCGCATATTCAAGCAACATCTCGGCGCGCAGCGCCTGCTGTGTCGAATCAAAAGCAATCAGCATCCAGGTTTCCATCTCCGCCGCCATCCGTTTCTCCCCCACCTTGATTTGTGCTGCATTCGTCAGAATTACTTTTTCTATGGAATTCCTGCATGAAGTATAAAAACCCTCTTCCTTCCATATACTAGTTACTACCAAATGCAAGGAGAGGAAGATTCTATGACTCAGTGGCCAAAAACGTCTCCCAAACAGGAGCCTACATGCTTAAAAATACCACATACCGACCCTGAAATCCATTCCGCTATTATTCATCGTCTTCTGTTTCATCTCTCTCAAGCCGGGGAAAATCAACAGGTTATCGTTGTATGTATCGGTACCGACCGGTCCACAGGCGACTGCCTCGGTCCTTTGGTAGGCACTGCGTTGGCCCGGTATAAAAGTCCATGGTTTCACTTGTTTGGCACGCTGGACGAGCCTGTGCATGCCGTTAACCTCCAGGAGACGCTCTCCTCGATCTATTCGCTGTATGACAATCCATTTGTCATCGGCATCGATGCGTGCCTTGGACAATCCTCCAGCGTAGGCTGCATTCAAGTCGCCAACGGCCCGCTCAAACCCGGCGCAGGCGTACATAAAGAATTACCGCCGGTTGGCGATATCCACTTGACGGGTATCGTTAATGTCGGCGGCTTTATGGAATATTTTGTATTGCAAAACACCAGGCTGAGCTTGGTGATGCGTTTGTCCGAAATTATTGCCTCAAGCCTTCATTCCGCCATTAAGGAATGGAAAGCCCGTACTACGCTTTTTGCAAGGCTAGAGTAATCGCCTCTACCTCTTCCGGTGAAAGGGGATAAGTCGACTGCCCGGCTTCTACCGGCTTGGCATAAACATAGGAGCTGTCACGGCTGTACAGCGCAGTGATGACGATTCCACTTCGATCGGCATCAACGATCGCAATCGAAAAGCTTAGATCGCTCCCCCGTTCGCTGAATGCATTATAACGTTTAATACCGATATTACCTTTGATCGTTTGAAGCTTGTTCAATGCCAGTGACAAGGATTCACGCTGCTGCTGCTGCTCATCCTCCACGCTGTCCACCTGTGTCTTTAGATCGATGAGCAGTGTTTCTAAATCCTCTACCCCGCTGCCGGCCATCATCGTTTCGTACTTTCGGCGAACTTTTCTAAGCTTTGCCCCTTGTGTCAGCACCAACACGAGCAAGATCAAAATGAGGAGTACGATCCCGCCAATGATTCCTGGTAATTGTTCGCTGATTAAATCATTTAAGTCCGACATGCTGTTCATTCCTTTTCCTCAATCTTGACCTACCCGTTTCCAAGACGTATCGTGATCCCATATATTCATGGTCCTTGATACTATACGGTTAAAAATCACAAACATTCATTCTGCCGGTTGTCCCTTCAGCTTTAGGGGAGAACCGGTTTTGTCTTGCCATCGAGGTTTGATTACAAATAGACTTCGAGGCTTGCGTTAGGCCATCTAGTTAATGAACCAGCTCGCGCATCGCTTCAACCATCCGTTGAACCTCCTGCTCCGTGCTGTTCGCACCCACACTCGCCCTCACTGCTCCGGTCTTATCCGTTCGTACCGCATAATGAGCCAACGGCGTACAGTGCATCCCCGCCCTCACTGCGATTCCATATTGCCGGTCCAAGCGGAAGGCGATTTCCGTAGAATCCCGGCCCTCGATCGTAAAGGCCACGATTCCGGTCCTTTCCTTCCCTTGTGCAGGACCAAGCAAGTTCATACCTGGCAGACCCTTCAACCCATCGATCATCATTTGGGTCAACGCCCATTCATGCTCATAAATCCGCTGAGGGGTTTCCCTAAGCACATACTCTACCCCTGCTCTTAGCCCGGCAATTCCGATCGTGTTCAAGGTCCCCGCTTCATACCGGTCCGGCCTTACGCTGGGCATTTCCTTTTCCTCCGATTGGCTGCCCGTTCCTCCGTGGATCAACGGCTCCAATTCGATCTCCGGCGATAAGTAAAGCCCTCCTGTCCCTTGCGGACCGAGCAGCCCTTTATGGCCCGGAAAAGCCAACATGTCGATGCAGCAGGACTCCACATCAATGTCCAGCACGCCGGCGCTTTGTGCAGCATCTACCAAGAATACTGCCCCACTGCTGCGTGCCAGCTCACCAATTCGCTGGATTGGCAGAATACTTCCCAACAGATTCGAGCTATGGCTGCAAACCACCAGCCTCGGTTTTTTGGATAAGCATGCCTCCAACTGCTGCATGTCCAGTTCTCCTTGATCATTTACCCCAATGTAATCCACTTGAATATCCAGTGTCCGCATTAAATATTCCAACGGTCTCCGTACAGAGTTGTGTTCGATCATCGTCGCAACGACATAGTCACCGGACTTCAAGATTCCTTTAATCGCCATATTCAATGCTTGGGTTGTGTTATGGGTGAAAATGATGTTATTCGGGTTCTTCACCCGAAATAACTGAGCCAGCACCCGGCGGGTCTCAAAGAGAACCCTGCTCGCTTGCACGGCCATTTGATGGCTCCCTCGTCCTGGATTCGCTGCTGCTTCCTCCATCGCCTTTTGCATGGCTGTCAGAACACCAGGCGGTTTCGGCCAGGAAGTCGCTGCATGATCCAGATATACAACTGCGTTCATATCCCGTTTCACTCCGATCCAAGGAACAAAGAATGACGCATCTTCGGTCCTTTTCAGGAATCACCTAGACGCGTCATCCCATCCACTGATCTTTATTGCAACAACTCCAGCAGCCGTTCCAGGTCCTGTTTGCTGTAATAGTTCAATTCGATTTTGCCTTTATCTTTGTTCTGCTTGATCTTCACTGTCGTTCTAAACCGCTCCCGCAGCGACTCTTCCAAGTTATCGATATATGGATCACGCTTTTTGACTTTCACCTTGTTCTTATCCGCCGGTTTCCGGTCGAGCTGTTTCACAGCCTCCTCAAGATCCCGTACGCTCCACTCATTGTTAACACATTGCTTCGCCAACTGTTTGATGAGGGACGGATCCTTGAGACCAACCAACGCTCTCGCATGGCCCATGGAAATTGTTCCACGTGAAACATAGTCTTTGACTTCATCCGGTAAAGCCAACAAACGAAGGAAGTTTGCAATATGGGATCTGGATTTCCCTACTTTCAACGACAGCTCTTCCTGCGTCAGTGAGTATTGATCCATCAAGCCCTGGTAAGCAACAGCTACTTCCATCGCATTTAAATTCTCGCGCTGCAGGTTTTCAATCAAGGCAATCTCCATCACCTGCTGATCGCTGAATGTGCGAACCACAGCCGGGATGGTGGCCTTGCCGCAGAATTGCGAAGCTCTAAAGCGCCGCTCCCCTGCAATAATTTCATATCCTTTGAGCACGCTGCGTACAATAATCGGTTGAATGACCCCATGCTGACGAATCGATTCGGCCAATTCCTGAATTGATTCCTCGTTAAAGTCCTTGCGCGGCTGGTAAGGATTGGCACGAAGTTGGCTGAGTGGGATTTCTACGATTTTGTCATCTTCATTAATCGAAAGTGAAGGAATTAAAGCATCGAGCCCTTTACCCAATCGTTTACTCATA